CTCTTTCCGCTAAATTGGTGGTATAACTGGTTTTACCACGTTTATGGCTGAAACTGCATTTATGTTTTCTTGAAGACAATGTGTAATTAGTGAATGAATCTTAGACTCAGTTTACACAAGCTCTTTGGTCTGCCCATCACCTCAGAATGCTTACTCACTTTATAATCTCCCATAGAGTTTTTACTTTTTCTATAATAAATATATCTTTCTGAAACCTATTGTATCCTCCCACCTCTGCATCTTTCTTCATGGGAGAGAACAGAATCAAAGTGTCATAGGGGAGACCAAAAAATGTTGGTGAGAATCAGGAGGGCAAAAGAACAATAAGAACTCATGGGTATTTAGAGCTTTAGGTATCCAGAGTGATAGTCTGGAGCCAAACTGCTTGGGTTTGAATTCCAGCTCTGCCATTTTTTTGCCTGTGTGGCCTTGGGCAAATTACTGTCTCTATGAAGTTGTGCCTATCTCATAGGTTTATTGTGAGAATCAAAACTATTGTAGGACAGCACCTGGCACAGAGTAAGCACTATGAATTTGTTATTGTTTTCATTATCACCATTATTAATATTGTCTTATAACAACTCTAAGAGGTAGATGATGTTCTTTCCCCTCTTTTGTAGATGAGGAGCACTGAGGCTTCAAGTTTAATATACTTTAGTGTCTAGTGTCACTTACTAGGAGCAGACATTGAACCTTCTTCACTGCAGGAACCCTCCTCATCTATAGGGGTGCCCTGCAGATTCCTATCAGTGAATACGATACCTAAAATGCAGACTTACAGCCAAGGAAATTTTGACACTGACACAAAATGGTATAGGTGGTTACACATCTTTCTCTTTAGAATTCTTTTTTAAATGGAACCTTCATTTCTACTTGTACCAGGAAAATGCCTGGGAAGTAGTGATCTTTTTTTCTATCAGGGCAGGATCAGCTAGCTACTCCTCTGTCCCTCTGAGCTATACTGATAGGTCCAGGGAAAAGGAAGTGGTTAAACCCATTGTGTTTTAACCTCTTCGTGCATCTGTTTCCTCATCTGTAAAATAGGAATAATAATAGTGCCTACTTTACAAGGGTGTCTTTGAGGATTAAATGAGTTTGTATATATAAAGCATTTAGAACACTGCTTGACATTTCACAAACATTTAGAAAATGGCATTGTTACAATTGTTTTAGATGGGACACACTGAATATGAGTCTGTCCAGGACAACCTGAATTCAGGTCTAGACTGGTCATTTCTGATTTTTAGCCTCTCCTTGCCTTGCCTTTTCTGTGTGTTTAAGCCCCTTTTGGAAAAGCCTTCCTGAGTTTTTCCTACTCCATCCCCCGTTAACTTGGGTGGCACTGTTTTATGCCTTTATAGCATCCTGTACTTTCCCTGTTGTTGAATTGATCTATTTCAGTGTTATTTACTTAACTGTGTTTCTTCCTTTTGCTTTATAAGCTGTGTGAAGGCAGAAATCAGCCCTCACTTAGTGACCATTGTATTCCCAATTCCTGGAACAGCTCTGGTACAAAATATGTGCTTTATAAATATTTGCAAATGAATAAAGCTTAAATTTAATGAAGCTTAAACATAATCATAATGACTTTGTCATTTGACCATTTTTGTACAGGATCTGATTTTTCTTTAGCCACATGTCCTATTTATTCCACTTTTTGAGGAGGAAGAAATTATCCTCTACCCTTCTAAGTTAAGTCTAAGAATTAAGTTGACATGAGACAGATTAATAGGAAAAAAATCAAACAAAAATTTAATAGCATGTGTGGGTGAGAGAGACCCAGGAAGACTGAGTAACTCACCAAAATGGCCAAAATACTCTCACCTTAAATATCTTCAGCTAAAGACACAGCAGGATATTGGGGGTAGTGGTTTGGGACTTAAAAGGGGAGGAAGGTAATTCACTGGAGATAGAAAAGTAAATGTTTGGTAAACGGTCATCTCTGGTCTCTAGGCCCTATCAAGTTTCCCCACCACACCTAGCCCATATTTTTGGCAGATATCTGATGATAGGTCTACTCTGGTAACATTCTTGAAAATGTTCTCGAATCTTCTGTTTCTTAAAAATAATCGGCCTAAATTAATCCTCATGCCAAAGGGACACATTTGTGGGGTGGCACTCTTATATTGCTAACATACACTCTTATATTACTAATAGGAAAGAAAAGCTCAGAATTTAGCTAATAGGTACAATATCCAAACATTTGTTGAAAGATTTTCTTTTGAAAATAGGATATCTACTATAGGTCATGTGTGAAGGCTCCTATCCCTACAATTTATTTGGTTTTAGCTTAATTTCATCTAGTTTATGGGCTGAGTACCAAGAACTAATCCCATTTGTGCATGTAGTAGCAAAATATTTTAAAAAATAGTAGGTTAATCCTCCTTTCCCCCCAAACCATTTTATTATATTGTATTAACAACAATAAAGAAAGTTTTATTAAAGTTTTTTGAGGAGGTAATACATGCAGATGATACAAAATTTAAAAACGTGTAAGGGTATAGAGTGAAAACTACGTCTTCCACCCCTTTTTCCCAACCAACCAGTTTTCTTCCCCAAAGGCAACTCTCAGTATCAGTTTCTAATGTTTCCTTCCTGACATAGTTTATGAACATACATTCAAATGTATGTATTTGTTTTATATGTGTATGCATGTGCTTACACACACACACACACACACACACACAGACGTATAGGAAAACTCTTCAGCTTGCCCTCCATAGGAACTGGAACATTTGCAACCTCATCAGACATGTATGACTGTCCAGCTCCCCAGAGTATGTTGTCAGCCTTTGGGTTGTGCCAGTCTGCTAGGTGGAAAATGTTATCTCAATGTAATTTTCATGTGTATTTATCAAAGTTGAGTATCTTTTCATTGGTATAAGAGCCATTTGTATTTTCTATTATGTTTTTTGTCCATTTTTCGATCAGGCTTTTGATCTGTCTTCAGTTTCTGGGAACCCTATATATTAGGGAGAATAGTCCTCTGTTATATGAGTTGCAAGCTTATTTTCCCAGTTTTGTCATGTGTTTTTGACTTTGTGTTCCTTACTTCTTTTGGATACAGCATTTCAAACAAATGAAAACAGCTAACTTAATCTGTACTTTTTTTGTCTTTTTATTTTGCTTAGGAACCTGGCTACTGTATCTGCCATGTACTTGGAGCATTGGTCTGGCAGCTGAACCAGGTTGTTTTCCAGATTGGTACATGTTATCCCTCTTTGGCACCGGAGCTGTTCTGATGCGTGGAGCAGGCTGTACTATTAATGACATGTGGGACCAGGACTACGATAAAAAGGTAGATTCGTGCCAGAAAGGAACAGAGAGGCTCCTCTCAATTCTGCAGAGTAAGATGGTGGCATCACTTTTGAATGCCACATAAAGCAACAGGATCGTTTAGTGTCCTCACTGAAATCCAGCGTAAGAAGTGCCAGTATCAGTTGAATAGCTGGTGTTGCAAAATGAGGTGTGCTTCCTTTCTCAACAGAGGAGCGGCCATGGGGGCAAGGTGTGTACATCATTTTTAGAAAATGAATTAGAATTTGGAAGGCCAGAGAAAGGATGTTGGGAGTGAAGGTGAAAATTCCATCCTGAACCTTTGGATGTCTAAAAGAACTGTCATCCCTTCCTTTGAGAAGCCATATGTTGGAGCCATAACTATTCAGATGTAAATCAGATCTTAATTTAAATGAATCAAGGCAGCCCTATTAGCATTTGCTATAATTATTTCTTTTAAAAACGTTATTTTTTTCTCCTTAGAAAAATAATACGTTTATTCTGAAAAATTCAGACAGTACAAAAATAGAAAGGATAGAAAATGCAAGTCTTCCTTATCACCTCCCCCAAGCCCCCAGAAAAAACTTCATTTAAAGTTTGATACATCATATTTCTCTAGATTATTTTCTATGCATGTTCTAATGCATGCGTGTAATTATATCTTTGTTCTTCAGTAGACCATTATTTTCTCAAGGGAATGGTCTGTCTTGTTTGCCTTTTATTCCAGCAGCCATACTATAACAAGTATAAAATCATTAAATGTTTGAGTAAATAATCAAGTAAACGTTCAATTTATAAGAAATCCAGGGTGAATTATGTGAAGTAAATAATCATGTGACGCTCACATAAAGTGAATAATCTTCCCTGGTTTGCCTTTCATATAAGTCTTAGTTTTCCTTAAGCAAAGCACACCCATAATGATTTTTAGCTTATAGAACAGTGTCACATTAATAATTTTTAAATTCAAAAACATTTATTGAATACCTGCTGTCTCTGAGACACAGTGACAGGTTCTAGGATTGTGTGGATGAAAGACAAGATTGCTGACTTCAGTTTAGTAGCTATCAAGAGATGGTGTCCACAAGGGCACTTACTGCAGACCACCTACCTTACCTTAGCATAATGCAGGGGGTTAGAGAGAAGTTTTGATGGGGTGAGGTGGGGTAAGGTGACTTTGGAACTATGACAGACTAAGATGGCGAAAAAAGCCTGGACAGGAGGGTGAAGGTCATTCTAGGCAGAGGAAACAGCAGACACAGAGGCATCGCTGTGAGATAAAATATATTATGCTTGACAACTGCAACTATGTAGTTTGTGTGTGGCTGGAGGGTAGGATAGTGGCAGAGTGGCAGGTGATGCATGGTAAAGGCATCTCTATGTCTCACTGACCATTGGGATGCTTTGATCTATGCCAGGAGATGCGTACTTTCTTGTTTTGGGGGTTTGCACATCCTGGTCAGTTTTTCATCTGCATGACCATATGAATGAGGCTTCTGGCCAGTATCACTTCAAAATAATTATTGAACACATTTAGAGCAGCCTAATGTCAAAATCCTGGTTGTGATATTGTACTGTAAAGTTTTGCAAGATGTTACCCTTGGGGAAAACTAGATAAAGGATACATAGGATCTCTATATTTCTTATAATACAGAGATTTTTTTTTTAAAAATTGCATGTGAATCTACAATTATCTCAAAAGAAGTTTAATTAAAGAATAACATAATCAAACCAACCAACATTTTCTACTTTTTTAATTAACAAAATAGAGCCATTTCAGTTTTGTCTTAAGTGATTTTTATACTCACTAGATAAAAGGGAACTGGTTAGATATCTTACACATCCCCCGTGCCATTTTTCTCTGATTAGAGGAATCCAGAGTCTATGTTGACATACAACAAAGCACTTAAATGAGTATTTTATAGCTATGGTTTTGCTAACATGAATTTTAAAATGTTATGAGCATCTCTTTTACAGAATGGGTTAAAAATCTTGGTCAAATTGTAACGCTTACCTTACATTTTCTTAAAGACAGTATGTTTATGGCTGAGGGTTTTGCTTAATATGTTAGATGACTAAGTAAATTGCTAATACATTAAATGGTAAGTGAATTTTGCTATTAGGTTATTTGGGTTAACTGTGTTTTGTTGATGATGTATGTAATCTGCTAGTCATGCGATAAACATTAGGTCCAATAAACATTGAAATAATATCAATGCACAGGTGTTAATGATTTGGTTTTGTAAGCTGTGAGCATTCTAGTTTCATAGAAACCACATAGAATATGTTTTTTGATCATCATATTGCATCATTTTTATTCTTTTGATGGAGTGCTTGTTTTTCACCTCTCGAGTTTAGCCAGGCAATTACCATTGTACTGAAGGGGCAGTGTTGTGGTTAGTACTGTGGTTGGCGGGACTGGACTGACTGTGCTACCTTAGTATCTGTGACCTTGGAAAGTTACTGAGCCTCTCTGCCTCAGTTTCCTAAAACTTAGAAATGGCAAGAACTTGTGAGTGGCTAAAAGAGAGTTGTTACAAGGATTCAATGATGTGATGCATATATAGCTCTTAGATTATTAGCATTCAAATACTGGCAGGAATAATCATAATATCCTAAATCAAATATAAGAACATAAATATTATTCCCACTTGAAGCTACAGGGACCAAATCAAGGATGAGATATCCAGTTCTGGCACTAAGCAAGATGAGTCATTACAGTTTTTGACAAACTGTTTTATTGCACAGTGAAGCATGCTATAAATTGGGTCAGCAAATTTCTTCTGTAAAGGACCAGATAGTAAATATTTTAGGCTTTGTGGGCCACACAGTCTTTGTTGCAACTACTGCACTCTGTTACAGCGTGAAAGCAGCCACATACAATATGTAAAAAAATGGGTGTGTCTCTTTCAATAAAATTTTATTTGTGGACACTGAAATTTGAATTTTGTATTTTCATGTGGCACAATACATTACTCTTTCTTTGTTTATTTTCAACCACCAAAAAAAGTAAAAACCATTGTTAGCTCGTGGTTCCAACCAAAAACAGACAGAAAGCTGGATTTGGCTCACAGGCCATAGTTTGCTAAACCTTGCTATAAATCATACAAAAATATGTTATATTAATTATAGTTAACATTTATTGCATCAGGCATTGCATTCACTCTGTAAGGTAGGTGCTATTATTACGTCTCCCTCTCTTTCTGTTTTTCCTTAAATAGGTAAATAACCTAAGCCTGAGGGAGGTCAAGTAACTTGGCAGAATTCACACAGCCAATAAGTGATGGAATTGAATTCAAATGCTAGGCTCTCTAATCCCAGATCCTGAGTTCTTAACTTCCAGCAATGCTGAAAATTTTGGTTATGCTCTTTATTTGTGGTTGAATTTAGAATAATCACATTTCATGATCTCTTGGAAGGAAAATAACAATATATATTATTTGTTCACATAATTGCTCTACCTATATTCTTACAGTGAGTTTGCCCTTTATATATGGGTGCAGTTAATATAAGATTACAGCCCCATTCCTACATAGACTGGCAAAAGCACTCCCACTTTCAAACTCAGATAATCTGTCTTCTTTCTTCATGTCTGATATCTGATTGCAGTGCTTCCCATACTCAAAGCATTTACATGATATCAGCCTTATCTAACATGCTGTGCACTTTCCTCTTTCCTGAGAATTCTTATTATTTTTGTCCCTCTTTGCTCCATGGAAATTGAACATATACTTGCTAAGCTGGATAGGTAAATAGTTAGATTACGAAATTGCTTTGTTTGTTTGGAGATGGGGATGGGAGATGGAAAGAAAGAGGAAAGAATGGTGGGAATTTTTAGTTCTTTTCAATGCTATTTTAAATAGAAGTTTTGATTCATGGTAGTACTTCCAGTGTTCACCTTTTATTCATATTTCTGCCTTAGTACGTACCATGGGCCAGTCTCTTGAGTAAATGTTTAAGTAAATGATGGAACTATTCCCCGATGCTAAGGTATCTGTTTTTATGTTGTTAAGGTTACAAGAACAGCAAGTCGCCCAATAGCTGCTGGAGACATTTCAACTTTTCAATCCTTTGTTTTTCTTGGGGGACAGCTGACCTTGGCACTGGGTGTTCTTCTGTGTCTGAATTACTACAGGTACAGTATATTTTTTTTTCATAATCATGTAAAAAATCTTTCCTTTGGCATAGAAGTACATATAAAATAAAATAGAAATATCTGTATTACAAAGTTGTTTATTACCTAATCAAGCATCTGTAAAGTTAGCAATGTAAGTCACCACACAATGTAAAGTCAAGAATGCTTTCAGCCAAAGGAATGAAGAGATCAGCGTTTTGTTTATTCTGCACCACCTCCAGTACTTGCACTATGTGTTCCCTAAAGGACTCAAGACACTTTTCCTAGGTTTTCTAGGTGCATGCTTGGGAGTGTGTGTATATACCCATTTGTATAATTTTATTTATCCTGGTAGTATCTCTGAAGCATTAGAGGCAGAAGTGGTTATGCTTACTTTGCAAAAAGAGGAACTGGGTCTTTCCCAGAGTCGTATTCCTAATCAATGACAGAAGAAAAAAGAACTCATTCTTACACTTCTTAAACAGAGACAAAATTAGACATTTGTGTACCAGATGGCTGCTTACATAGTGCTTCAATAAGACAAAAAAGAGGAGTTCAGCAAATAAGCATGTTTTATAGAGACTAGACTTAATTGCATATCTTGTTCTGATAGCTTCAGTCAAGTGAAAACACTTTGAAAGGTTATTCCTGGAGGGGTAGTGTCAAGTGAGCTGTGAGCTTCCTAAAAACATCTTATCTGACTGTCATCCCTTCGTAGGTACTTTGTGACCTTATCCTCTTCTAGAGAAGTAACCCCTTGTGCATACAGGGAGGGGTATCTTGACTCTAATTCTCTGTTAGGACATCTCAGTTTACTAGCTATCTTAATGTTTGAAAGCAAAATTTAGGCAGTAGCACATGGGGAGTATTATGTTGGATACTGGGGCCAGATGCCTTAGCTTTGCTTCCTGACCCTGCTACTGACTAGCTGTATAACAATTGTCAAATTACTTTCTCTCTTTGACTTTAGTTTTTTCATCTGCAAAAAAACAAGTAGAATAAAACTACCTGCCTCATAAGGTTGTGGTAAAGGTTATAATGAGTTAACATATGTAGATCAGTTAAAGCAGTCCTAATACATGAAAGCAATATATGTGTTAGCTATTCTTATTTTGTTTCATTGTTTGTAACACTTAAGATATTTTCTAATCACCCTTTATGTTAATTAAAGTCCAGGAATAAAGGTCTAGGAAGAGAATTTTACATAACAAAATATACAATTTAGATAAATCATTTCCTCATTAGTGTTGCTATTGTTGTCTTATTTACCGATTTTTTTTTTTTTTTGCGATACGAGGGCCTCTCACTGTTGTGGCCTCTCCAGTTGCGGAGCACAGGCTCCGGATGCACAGGCTCAGTGGCCGTGGCTCAGTGGCCATGGCTCACAGGCCCAGCCGCTCCGCGGCATGTGGGATCCTCCTGGACCAGGGCACAAACCCGTGTCCCCTGCATCGGCAGGCGGACTCTCAACCACTGCACCACCAGGGAAGCCCCTTATTTACCGATTTTTAAGAGATGGTGATATTAATCTTTTTCATGTTTTTTCTTGATTTCAGTATAGCTCTTGGAGCAGCATCCCTACTTCTTGTCATCACCTACCCGCTAATGAAGAGAATTACATACTGGCCTCAATTAGCCTTGGGTAAGCTTGAAATAACTATAAGTATTTCCTTCAGTACCCTCAAGCTATACTTTTATATATAATATCAGTGCGTGTGGTGTGTGTGTGTGTGTGTGTGTGAGATGTGGCAGAGATAAAATGTTAAGTCAGTCATGAAATTTTCCAAACCAGGAATAGATTTTCATGTTTTAATGGAGGGCAATTAGCCATTTTTATTGGCTAAAAAATCTTGGACATCTGCTAAGATTATCGTCGTTATTATTTTCTGAAATGCTCTTAAAAATCTAGGTATGTCATGAAGAAAGAAAATTAGCCGCCTTGACTTCACCACTCTCTTTAGGTAGTTGATCTAGATGCCCTGAAGATTTGGGGGATTGGAATAGAAAGCACTCTGAGGCAGAAGAACAAGAGTTGAAGTGTGTGATAGCTCCCTTTCTGGGAAGCCTTCCTTAGACTTACCAGAAGAAAGTTAGCCAGTCCCTCCTGGGCTCCCATAGCACTCTAATGTGACACTTACTCATTTCAGTAGCACTAATTCAACAGGAAGATATTGAGAGCCTACCCTCTCTTCCCATTAATAAATTGTAAACACCTAGAAGATAAAGCATTCTTTATATATGGATGGTGCAGCATCTAACATGGTGCTTGGCACATCACAGGTATTCAATAAATATTTGTTGGCAGATAGAGGAAGATAGGTAGGTAAGTCAAAACCTATTGCAAAAATATCTACTCCTAGACTTTTCTGTTCTATTCCTAGAATAGAGTATTAAGAAAACTGGTATTTTTACTTTAAATATTTATTGAAACCCTCCCTGACTTTTACTTTGTGCCAGGAATCACACCAGGTACTAGGAAAATAAACATGACTGAAACACATCATCGTCTTGAAGGAGCAAGTCCCTCAGATACCTCAAAGTCAGTGGGTCCCAAACATCTTCTCAGAAATCCTTTTTCTCCTCCACATTGCCTATTTCCACTTAGAATCCCTCCTCCTCAGTTGATAAGTACCTCTCCTCTGTGGTCCCACAGAGCATGCATGTCAGTGTACCTGAGGGACTTGCAGGTGGAGATGTCTAGCAGGCAATTCAGTATCTAGTCTGAAGCTGAGGGAAGTGATTAGGCTTACACATAGATATTTAGGAGTTGTCACCATGTGAAGTTTGTTTACAGTCCTCAGAGAGGGTAGACTTGAAGAACAAGTGTTCCTGTCTAACTCTTGTTTCTGTAACTTAAAGGGGAAAATAGAGCAATAATGGAAAAAACACAGGAGTTTGACTCAGATAGGTCTAAGTTCAAACTCTAGCATCTAATACTATTTATCATCGGTGCCAGTCGTCATACTAGGTAGGATAAATGTTGTTCTCATGAAACCTCCTATTTATCAGGGGGATATTATTCTTTCTGTTCGCTATGTTATTTTAATTGTTAATTAACCTTTCTGGTTCTGTTTTCCTTTTTTGTAAAATGTAGCTAATAACTACCACATGAGAGACTTGAGAAAATTTAAGGGAGAAAACAGCATACACAGAGCCTAATACATAGAAGCATTTAATACATGCTGATGCCTCTCTCCTTCCCTTTGGAATTCTAAAGTACATTTAGACTTTTCTCCTCTTTCTGTTTCACTAATTATAGGGTTGACTTTTAATTGGGGAGCATTACTTGGATGGTCTGCTGTCAAGGGCTCCTGTGATCCATCTGTTTGCCTTCCTCTCTATTTTTCTGGAATTATGTGGACTCTAATATACGATACTATCTATGCTCATCAGGTAAAGAAATATTCTTTTTCATAACTTTGGCTTAACTGTTATCATTTTTTTAAGAACTTTAAAATAAGAACTAAATTAAAGGGAAAGGTTTTTTTCTTTAGGCTTTTAAAAAAAAATTGAGGTAACATCATGTGTCATGTGTACACCATTATATTTCGACTTCTGTATACACTACAGTATACTCGGCATCAAAAGTTTAGTTTCCATCCATCACCATACCATTGACCCCCTTTACCCATTTTGCCCTCCCCCTTCCCCTTTCCCCTCTGGTTACCACTAATCTATTCTGTGTATCTATGTGTTTAGTTTTATTTTGTTTGTTCGTTTATTTCTCTCTTTCTTTTAATATTCCACACATGAGTGAAATCATAGTGGTATTTGTCTTTTTCTGTCTGACTTACTTTACTTAGCATAATACCCTCAAGATCCATCTATGTTGTTGCAGTTGGCAAGATTTTATCTTCTTATGGCTGAGTAGTATTCCACTGTATGTATATACCACGTTTATCCATCCATCTGTTGATGGGCACTCACATTATTTCCATATCTTGGCTTGTAAATAACACTGCGATGAACATTGGGGTACATATATATCTTTTTGAATTAGTGTCTTTGTTTTCTTCAGGTAAATATCCAGAAGTGGAATAGCTGGATCATATGGTAGTTCTATTCTTAACTTTTTGAGGAATCTCCTTACTGTTTTTCCGTATTTATATTCCCACCAACAGTGCACAAGGGCTCCTCTTTCTCCACATCCTTGTCAACACTAGTTATATTCCTGTCTTTTAGATAGCCATTCTAACAAGCATGAGGTGATATCTCATCGTGGTTTTGGTTCGCATTTCCCTATTAATTAGTGATGTTGAACATCTTTTCACGTGCCTATTGGCCATCTATATGTCTTCCTTAGAAAATTTCTTCAGGGCGTTGTCTATTCATATCCTCTGCCCATTTTTTAATTGGGTTATTTGTTTTTTTGGTTGTTGAGTTCTTTATATATTTTGGATATTAACACCTTACTGGATATATGATTTGCCAATATCTTCTCCCATGTGGTAGATTGTCTTTTCATTTTATTGATGGTTTCCTTTGCTGTGCAGAAGCTTTTTAGTATGATGTAGGCTCATTTATTTATTTCTGCTTTTGTTTCCCTTACCTACGGAGACATATCCAGAAAGATATTGCTAATACTGATGTGAGGGAGTGTACTAACTATGTTTTCTTCTGGGAATTTTGTGGTTTCAAGTCTTACATTCAAGTCTTTAATCCTTTTTTTTTTTTTTTTTTGTGGTACACGGGCCTCTCACTGCTGTGGCCTCTCCCATTGCGGAGCACAGGCTCCGGACGCGCAGGCCCAGCGGCCATGGCCCACGGGCCCAACTGCTCTGTGGCACATGGGATCCTTCCGGATCGGGGCACGAACGCACGTCCCCTGCATCGGCAGGCGGACTCCCAACCACTGCGCCACCAGGGAAGCCCCTTTAATCCATTTTGAGTTAATTTTTATGTATGGTATAAGATAGTGGTCTAGTTTCATTTTTTGCATGTGGCTGCCCAGTTTTCCCAGCACCATTTGTTGAAGAGACTGTCCTTTTTCCATTTTATGTTCTTTGCTCCTTTGTTGTAAATTAATTGTTCATATATGGGTGGGCTTATTTCTGGGCTCTCAATTCTGTTTCCAATGATCTGTGTGTGTCTGTTTTTCTGCCAATACCATGCTGTTTTGATAACTATAGCTTTGTAGTATAATTTGAAATCAGGAAGTATGATACCTCCAGCTTTGTTGTTTTTTCTCAAGATTGCTTTGGCTTTTCAGGGTCTTTTGTGTTCCATACAAATTTTAGGATTTTTTTGTTCTATTCCTGTGAAAAATGTTGGTATTTTGATAGGGATTGTATTGAATCTGTAGATTGCTTTAGGCAGTATGGATATTTTAATAATTTTAATTCTTCAAGTCCATGAGCATGGAATATCTTTCCATTTCTGTGTGTCTTCTTCACTTCTTTTAACAATGTCTCATAGTTTTCAGAGTACAGGTCTTTCACCTCCATGGTTAAATTTATTCCTAGGTATTTTGCTGTTGTTGTTGCGATTGTAAATGAGATTATTTTCTTAATTTCTCTCTCTTCGAGCTCACTGTTAGTATATAGAAACACAACAGATTTTTGTATATTGATCTTGTACCCTACAGCTTTACTGTATGTGTTTATAATTTCTCATAGGTTTTTGGTGGCCACTTTAGGGTTTTCTATATATAAAACCATGTCACCTGCAAATAGTGATTGTTTTTCTTCTTCCTTTCCAATTTGGGTGTCTTTTATTTCTTCTTCTTGCCTAATTGCTCTAGCTGAGAATTCCAATACTATGTTGAATGAAAATGGCAAGAGTGGGCATCCTCATCTTGTTTCTGATCTTAGAAGGACAGCTTTCAGTTTTTCACCATTGAGTATGTTTGCTTTGGGTTTGTCATATATAGCCTTTATTATGTTGAGGTACATTCCCTCTGTACCCACTTTGCATGCAGCCTCTGATGTCACATGACTGTGATTACAACATTATATGGAAATGCTTACAAATAAAGTTGCTGGAGGAGACCAGTCAGCCAGATGTGAGTGTATCATCAAGACCTAGCTCTACTTAAACAGGAAGGATTTGATGGGAGAGGCAAGGAATAAACTGAGCCAGAAGTGAAATCTGAATGGATGTGGTTAGGTGTCAAGTGAGCATTTTTCCACATGTGTGATTTTAGCAAGATTGAAACTAAAATGTATAGGAAATTATTGAGATTTGAAAACTCTGAAGTAAAGAAGAGCTATGTGAAGAATTAGAGTCTGACTTCTAATTTATTAGTAAAAGTATAGTTGAAAGTCAGTATAGGGTCATAAAAGTACGATGATATGTAGAAATAGGTCTGGAAGATAATTTTAGCAGTAACATTTAACTCTGATTTGGCCTGCACATTCATTTTTGATCAACTGTTTCTGAGTTACTGTCATGTTCTTTAAAAGAGTTTCTCCTGGAATTCGATGGTAGTGATGGTTGCACAACCTTGTGAATATACTAAAACCACTGAATTACATACTTCAAAATGGTGAACTTTATGATATGTGAATTAAATCTCAGTAAAATCCAGGCAATTTCTTACTACTTTCTCATGTTAGGACAAGAGAGATGATGCTCTGATCGGGCTTAAGTCCACAGCACTGCTGTTCCGTGAAGATACCAAGCAGTGGCTCAGTGGCTTCACTGTGGCGATGCTGGGGGCACTGAGCCTGGTGGGAGTGAACATTGGTCAAACTGTGCCCTACTACACTGCCCTGGCTGCTGTAGGGGCCCATCTGGCTCACCAGGTTTGATCTTTTCCATATCTTTCCCTCTTTTTTCTTTGGTGTAAATTATAAAAATTATTTAAACAGGGCTTCCCTGGTGGCGCAGTGGTTGAGAGTCCGCCTGCCGAGGCAGGGGACACGGGTTCGTGCCCCGGTCCGGGAAGATCCCACATGCCGCGGAGCGGCTGGGCCCGTGAGCCATGGCCGCTGAGCCTGTGCGTCCGGAGCCTGTGCTCCGCAATGGGAGAGGCCCACATACCGCAAAAAAAAAAAAAAAAACCCAACCCCGCCCCCCCCCCAAAAATTATTTAAACAAAATGCCCTCTGTGTTTACCAAGCAAGTTACTTCCTTAAACAACTACTTGGCTTGTACTGCCTTGAACTGCCCCTTCCCTGCCCCAATATGTCATATAAGAAAGCTAGCTGTATTATTTTAGAGAAATAATGTAAACCTAAACCTAGATTTTTTTTTTCCTTCTAATTCTCCTAGAATTATTTCTGATGTGTGTCTAGAGAAATTTGAGCAATGTCTTAAGGTTGTGGGTTGAGTTGAATTACTCTGAAAGCAAACTGGTCAACACAACTGTATTGTTTAAATGTGGGCATCTATTGATGGTTAGCAAACTAATCATTCATATGTTTGAGTCACACTGGCACAGGGACCAAGGCAAGATAAGACACAAAATGCGAAGATGTCAGAGTTCTGCCTACACAGTAGGAAACTGCCAGGATGTTCACTCAGCACCTCAGCCCCACTTGTTTATATGGCAGGTCTACATCACTGACTTCTGTAAAATGAATGAACTAAGTAGAATTTACTTAAATAGGTTGCTTGTAAATGGACTGTATTTTTGCATCAGTATTACTGTTATTTTCTTTGAACAGAATCGAAAAGATGTTAGTAAGCCTGTATTTAGATGATCTATTTTATACAGATCAGTGCATGTGTAAGCAGGACTTGCATAACATGGTATGAAGGAAACTAAAATCTGATGTCCATAAAGTAAACCACATACTATTATCACCTTCATTGTTTTCCTCACCAGGAAAGCTAAAAGGTTTGAATTAGTGATTCCCCACATTTCACCATTTTCCTCTTCAGAATTTCTCAGCATCTCCTTTTGGTCATTACTCAGCTCCATGGGAGTTGTTATCATCAGTTGATTGTCTGGTTAGGATAATGGATGTTTAGCAATATTTAAGCGCCTGGATATTATCAGAGGAAGGCAAAAATTATGGGGATAATCACAAATACAGGAAATATTTGGAACCCACTTTATATTCTGAATTGCCTTTGTGGTCCTCTGCCTAGTCCTTGACACAGTACTTTAAGGTGGACATAGTCTTCTAGTATTTGGAGAAAGGAAATCATGATAATTTTAAGTCTGCAGGTCACATAATAAAGGATAGTTGAGGGCTTCTGATGCTTAAGTCCAGGGAAGCGTAAAATAGGGACGTGAGACTTTCTCAATATATTTGCAGGACAACTGTGGAGAAAAGAGAGTATGTTTGGTCGCTACCTGCAGATCTAGGATTTTCGGTGCCCTTCTCTATGTGGGGATGGGAGGGAGATTTTAACATGTATGGGGCTATTTTGGGGTATCATAAATAGACTGGGGAGGGACCACTACAGGCATTTAGTGAGCAAGGGCCAGGTACATTAAATATCTCTTGATGCAGTAGACAGCCCTGCACGGTAGAGAGTTGTCCTGCCCAAATGTAACTTGTTCCTCTGTTGAGAAACATTGCTCCGAAGAATAGAGCTAAACTGGAGGGTAGGAGTTGTAGAGAGCAGATTTGAGATCAATCAGTTTAAGGAAGAACTTTCAAAATAGAATTTAAAATAGCATGTGTTGCCTCTCAGAGTGTCCGTGCACCCGTCAAGTGCAAGTTTTTAGCTTAGATGACATGCATTGAGAGATATGGTAGATTTTTTCCACGTTGGAAAACAATCTGGGGTACATTAAAGGCTTCCCATTGCTTAAAATTCTATAACAAAGTGCTGTCATCTTCTTCATATTGATGTTTATTTGTGATGCCTAGAAGTCCATACTGAGTTCTAACATGGCACGTATTCTTTTCTTATAGATTTACACTCTGGACATCCACAGACCTGAGGATTGTTGGGATAAATTCACCTCCAACCGAACAATAGGACTAATAATTTTTTTAGGAATTGTCCTTGGGAATTTGTGGAAAGAAAAGGAGACAGATAAAACAAAGAAAAATATAGATAATAGAGTAGAAAATTAGCAAATTAAGTTTATCTGGGGATTTTTAAAACCAACTTTTACAAAATACTCTCAGGTCTTATTACTATACAAATCTATAACTAGATTTGAATAACAGTCTTACAATATGTTAATGAATTACAAACCAATAGATGAAGTTGTAGAGCATTTTTGCCTGGATTTTAGTTCAACTGTGTACTAGTCAAATTCTTCCCTGTCATAGAAACCAGGAACTCTTCAGGATTTGCGATCACCTGGAGTATTTAAGTTATAATTCTCATCTGCAGTTACAGGAATTATATGAGTTTTGGCACTTTAGGAAAAAACTTGATGTGTGTCTCATCTAAATGACTGTCTTTGTAGGAAAATGGGCTCTCTTTTTAGGGCAAAATAAAGGCTGCTAGAGGAAGTTGAGGCTTATTGTTCTTTGCGTTGACCTTTACTTACTGCCAAAAGCTGTAATTCAGGAAACCGTTCTGTTTTTTATATTTTAGCAGAATTTAAATCAGTAAATAAAATTTTTTACCTGTTATACCTGTACATACTGCTGTTTGTTACCAACCCTGACATTTATTTGAGAGGTCTCTGTATACAACCATAGTGACCAGAATGGGCAGACAGTCACTAATGATGATTTTAATTTCTATTTATTTATTTTTTATCTCAGGTGATTGTAATTGATAGGATAGCGGTATATTGGCTAGGTGTAGTAACTGTTTCTTTCCTTACCCCCTTCAGAATATTCTCAACACAGCAGCCACAATGATTTTCTTAAAACCTCTATTAAGGTCATGTCATTCTTCTTCTCAGAACCCTCCAGGATCTTCCCAGGTCACTCAGTACAAGCTAAAAGTCTTGTCACCTGCTAGGCCCACCATGATCTGGCCTTGTCTGTGGCTGCTGCCCTCACACCCCTCTGCAGCCCTGCTGGCCTCCGCACTGCGCCTCAACAGGCTGGACAGACTCGACTGAGGGCCTTTACATGTACAATTTCCTTTGCCTACAGTGCTCTCCTTGAATTATGTCTTAGTCCTTCACTGCAGGTCTTTTCCTAAATGTCACCTTCTCAAAGAGGCTTTTCTTAGCCGTTGTTTCTAAAATTTCATTTACAGGCCCTTCCCTGGTGGTGCAGTGGTTAAGAATCTGCCTGCCAATGCAGGGGACACGGGTTCCAGCCCTGGTCCGGGAAGATCCCACATGCTGTGGGGCAACTAAGCCTGTGCACCACAACTACTGAGCCTGCGCTCTAGAGCCCGCAAGCCACAACTGTTGAGCCTGTGCTCTAGAGCCCGGGAGCCACAACTACTGAAGCCCACGCGCCTAGAGCCTGTGCTCTGCAACAAGAGAAGCCACCGCAATGAGAAGCCCGCACACCGTCACGAAGAGTAGCTCCCGCTCACCACAACTAGAGAAAGCCCACACACAGCAACGAAGACCCAATGCAGCCCAAAATAAATAAATTTTAAAAAATAAGTAAAATATATTTTAAAAATTCATTTACAGATACTACCTACACTACCTATATTATTGGGGTTTTTTTCTCTTCACAACTTACCACTCTCAACCTAAAATATGTTTTACTTGATTTAAGTGGCTGTCATGAACAGTGGGGTGTAGTGTGTTTACTGCTGCCCACAATGGAGATGGGTTATGGGCAGCAGTAAACGCAAAATTGCTTAATGATGGTAGTGAGGATGATGTGATGCAGCTGACAGAGAGCACTTAAACATGCCAGGCATGGATAAATGAGCATAGGAAAATGTATTTAACTGCTTATTTGGCAAACACTAAACCACTGAGTGTGAGTGTTCAGACTTCAGACAGTAGTAGCAGCTGTAATTGTACTCTGCTATAGCAGCAATGAGTTGAAGAGAAGAAATAGAAACTTTGTACCCTAATTTTAGGGAAATACATTTGGTCACTATTTTATCTAATCCTGACACTGTACCAGGATACATAAAATTTAAATCTTTGTTGATTTCTGTTTTCTTACAAATATCATCCAACCCCACCCCCCCAAAAAGATTTACTTAGCAAAATTTACACAATTTTTCTAGAAAATATAGTAATAATAAAAAATAGGGAGTTTAAACAGATGGGGGATATCTTCAACAATGAATGAAGTGAGAACCAGGGGGAAAAATTGGGCTTAGAAAAGGGTTATGCCTCTTAAAAATATACCACTTCTCATAGCAGAAAAATGTTGATCTCTAAATGCCTTTTTTGCAGGTGTTAAGGTCTGGAAGAATGTTGGCCAGGATAAGTGGCAGAGGAGCAGAGCCAAAAGGAATCTGTTTTTCCCTTATACAGCAGAAACCAACACAACATTGTAAAGCAGTTATACTCCAATAAAGATATTATAAAAAATTATCTTGCTCTCAAAAAGCTGCTTAAGCTTAATTTAATTATTTTAGTTCCTTTTCATTTCTCCCCACCAGGTAGAAAGGCTGAGAAAGTAATATAAATGGGTAAGGGGCAGTTAAGGGGGAAAAACTGAAATAGATTATTTGCCTCTAAAATCACAGACTTTAAGCAATTCAGGGTTGGAAAGAAGTACATCCGTCATCTGTCTGGTATCAGGGTTGTCTATCTCCTGTGTAGTCATGACGGGAATTATAATTTAAGATAAGTGAAACTACCACTCTTGTCTTGGGAAATTTGATCAATGGAGTGGGCCCTTGCCCTAGTTTTCTGCTGTAGAGTCACCGTGAGGTTGTAAAGAGCAAGCATGTGAAAGAACTTTGTAAGCTGAACACTTACCTAATATAAGTTTATGGTGAGGGTGGAGGTGGGGTGGAAGCTATAGGAAATTTGGCTTGCTGTCTGAAAATTGCATCACAAGCACTGCCTCTCCTGCTTCCTGAATGAACTTTGCTGAATTGCTTTATACCTCTTGCAGATTGTAAAGGCCTCCACAGTTAGGCCCTACCATTTTCCCTATATCAAGCTACACTCTCGCCCTTGGGCTGGTCTCTTCACTGTCAGCACTTCTGCCGCCAAGCTAGCAGCTGGTAGGATGACTAGGACCTGGCCTTCGGGGCAAACAGGCCTGTGTGTGAATTCTCCCTGTTATACTTGCCAGCGGGAGACCTCAGACCAGTGATGAACCTCCCTCACAGCCACCACCTCATCTGCCAAGCCTGAGCTGTTGTGAACATTAAACAGTTGGTATATGTTAAAGCCTGTGACGGGCTGAATTGTATTGCCCTAAAATTCATATAGTGAAGTCCTAGCCCCCAGTAACTCAGAATGTAACCATATTTGGTGATAAGGTCTTTAAAGAGGTTATTAAGTTAAAATGAGGTCATTAGGGTGGGCCCTAAACCATTACATGTCCTTATAAGAGGAAATTTGGACACACAAAGAGACACTTGTACACAGAGAGATGACTGTGTGAATGCACAGGGAGAATATTGCCATCTACAAGCCAAGGAGAGAGGCTTCAGAAGAAATCAACCCTTCCAACACCTTGATCTCAGACTTCTGGCCTACAGAACTGTGAGAATATGAATGTGTTTTTTAACCACTCTGTCTGTGGTGTTTTGTTATGGCAGCCCAAGCAAACTTCATAAGAAGCTGTACTGTAGCACTGAACTGAGCAGAAAAGATACTCTACCAATGCAGTTTACTAGAAAGTGCTCCCTTTTCCACCCCAACTCTTGCTTTTTTGTCTCAAAGCACAAGTTTTAGCCCTTACAGTGTTCATAACAGTGGTAGGCTGAATACAACCTTCCAAAGATGTCCATGTCCTAATGCCAGAGCCAGCAAATATATTTCCTTATATGGAAAGGGGCTTTGCAGATGTAATTGAGAAGGACCTTGAGAAAGGGAGATTATCCTGGTTTATCTGGGTGGGTGCAGTGTAATCACAAAGATCTTTACAAGAGGGAGGAAAGAAGGTCAACGTCAGTAGTAGCAGATGTGATGACAGAAGCAAGAGGTTAGAGTGAGGCAAGAAAGGGTTTGCAAGCCAAGAAATGCAGGTGGCCTTTAGAAGCTGAAAAAGACAAGGACACAGATTCTCCCCTCTGAGCCCCTAGAGGGAACCAGCCCTGCTGACACCTTGACTTTAGCCCAGTGAGACTGAGTTTGGACTTCTGACCTCCAGAATTGCAAGATCATAAATTTGTGTGGTTTTAAGTCACTAAATTTGTGGTAATTTGTTTCAGCATCAACAAGGAAACTAATACAACTATTTGAGCTCTATTGAGCTGTCCTCTGAACCACCAGAGCTCTTCGTTGGCACCAGTAGAGCAGTGGCTAAGAATGCAAGTCCAGGTGACAGCTTGCCTGGGTTTGAATCTCTCTTTTAACACCTGCCAGTTACTTGATCTCCCTGTGGTTCTGTTTCTCAAATGGGGCTAATAATAGTACCCTTCTCATGGATTTAAAAATGATCTGTCTCGGGCTTCCCTGGTGGCGCAGTGGTTGAGAGTCCGCCTGCCGATGCAGGGGACACGGGTTCGTGCCCCGGTCCGGGAAGATCCCACATGCCGTGGAGCGGCTGGGCCCGTGAGCCATGGCCGCTGAGCCTGAGCGTCCGGAGCCTGTGCTCCGCAACGGGAGAAACCACGACAGTGAGAGGCCCGCGTACCGCAAAAAAATAAAATAAAATAAAATGATCTGTCTCCCTCTGCTAGAAAGCAGATTCCATAATAACTGGGACTTTGTCTTATTCACTAAAATAGCCCCAATACAGCACACTGTAGGTATTCAATAAATATTTGTAATTTATCATACATCAGTGAGTGAGCTGACAGCTGAGTGCTTGCCAGACCGAGGGTTAGGTGCCACCATTAGAAATTATGAATGGTGCTCAGCAACATAGTAAAAAATTCACAATGTGAGGCACCATAATAAAAATAAAGATTTCCATGTACACATGATTAAAATATATGTAAAATATATATATATAATGAAGACTAAAGAAACCAAAAAAAAGTATGTCATGGGTAATAGGTTATTATAATACTGCTTTATAATAGCACTAGACAGGCGCTGGTCCTAAATTTCATATTTCAAACTAATATATGAATGTAACCTTTAGTTCTTCCCATGTTATTTTTACT